AAAAATTAATAATGGGCATGTCTCCATGTCCATTAAGGTTATATGTATTTTAGCATTTTTAAAGATTCACAGGAATCTGTTTAATGGATGTATTTAATTTTTTAAGCATTTCAAATCATTGGCAATCCAAAAAAGAGATTTTAAAATATTAAAATAATAACAATCCTAGTTGGTAATCAAATCAGAAAAGGACAGAGCAGACCTCAAACCATGTTTTAAAAAAGGAGAGATAAGTGGCTTTGCCTAAAATCCAAAAGAATGAATCTTTAATTATTGTGCTACATATGCTATTTCTATTTGATCTGCTTCTGAAAAACTGGCTGAATTTATTTTTCCTTATTCTTGTTAGTCAGATTACACTTTGTCCATTGTTTAATTGAAATGTGAAAAACTGGATTGTGAATTTTATTTAAATTCATTATATAGTAATGTTTGACTGCTAGTAACCTCGGGCAATTTACATCGGATAGTGAAGTACCATTCTCACCAACGTTCTAAACAATTGTATTTTACACTTGTCTCCTCCCTAGTCATTCTAATACAAAGTGAGACAATTCATTAACCCATTTTCTCTAGCCAAGAAAGCTTTTCCTTAAACATTTGTATCATTATCACCACTGCTTGTGAACTGGAACAAATGCATACATCACCACACCCAAACCTGAAGTGATGCCTAAGATTTTTATTTCTCCTGCTTCCCTGTCCATTCCCATTTAAATTTCAAAAGCCTTTCATTCAATGTAAAGGTTGGAATTAATGATATTAAAGTAAAATCTATGTTACATTATCTCATTTAGGGACGCTAAACAAAGTTAGGGACCTATAAATGCTAGGACAACAGTGACTACCAAACCCCACCTGAGGCATACAGGAGCAGCAACAAGGGCAAGCTTGGGAGAAGAGGAGAGGGAGGGGAGGGGGCTGTGGACAGAGACTCTGCAGGGAGGAGGACAAGGACCAGGCAGAAGGAGGAGAGCAGGATGGAAGCTGGAGGCCCAACCTGAAGGCCAGGCGGTAGGGACAGATTGGGAGGACAGCATGGAGGTGCGAGGGCTGAGGCCAAGGATGCCAGGAGACCAGTGCTGGCCTGCTGAGGTCGTGAGGTGGACATGGTCGCACAACAGCCTCTTAGTTCTTGTCGGGGGGTCTCTGCAGCCTGGGTGTCATTTGAGTCAAGGCACAGACCACACCCCCGTCCTCGCTGAGCTTGGGGAAGGGTAAGTGGTCTCTATTGGTGGCTGAGATGGTGGCCTTCCCCAATCAGTTGGTGTTCTTGCTCTTAAAAAGTTGATATCAAATGATATATGTAATGGTCTTATTCAATAAGTGGTTTAGGTGGAACAAGTTAGTAAATATTGATGTCTTAACAGCCATTGTCCTGCCCCAGCCCACTCGTGGTTCAGCCCCAGACATAGGGACGTGGAGAGCCGCTGCCTTTACAGTTCTGCCCTCACCCACCAGACTGAGGGCCACTCCCTACTACAAGTCCACGGAGGACAGGTGAGGGCTGCAGCTGTGTGTGTGTGTGTGTGTGTGTGTGTGTGTGTGTGTGTGTGTGTATGTGTGGATGATATGGGTATGTGAGGAGGGCGGGGATGACCTCATGAGTGTGGGAGTGTGTCAGGACGGTGTAGGTGTGTGAAGAGTGTGAGCATGTGTGTGCGTGGATTAACATGTGAGGAGTTTTGTAAATGTGTGTAAGGCTGGTGCATGAGCATGCGAGGAGCTTTTGGATATGTGTGTGAACACTTGAGTATGTGTGTGTGTGGGAGAGGCTGCATGTTATGAGCATGTTAGTGCATGTATGTGCAGGGTACATGAATAGCAGTGCAGTCAGTGTGAGTGTGTGTGTGTTTCTGTTTACACCTTTATGTAAGTTTGATCCCACTTAAAGTCAGTTACAGTAAAAAAAATCCCTGCATTATTTAAGTTCCTGTCAGATTTTTAATACGTTTTTAATGTTACTGCTTGTTTTAAATTATAATTTATTAAACCATTAAATGACATGTTTATTATGCATAAATTAAATATTAACCACCATAAATGTTAATTTGCACCCAAGGAGGCTACATGGCATGGCCTGGAATCAGAGTGCTTGGATTTGAGGCTGAGTTCAGCCTTTTCTTGGGCGTGTCACCTTGGCCAACTGACTTAACCCCTCTGCGTATCTATTTCCATATTTATAAGAAACAAATACTATTAAAAACAGGTTCTAAGGGATTTTGTGAGGATTGATTTAAATACTTATTTACGTTAAGTGCTTAGCATAGAGCCTGGTATACTTTTTTTTTTTTTTAAAAGACTCTACTTAACGAAGCTTTGTAAACTCTGTCAGTAGGTATAGCATATAAGACCAAGGTAAATAGATATATATTTTCTTTTGAGTATAAGAAAAAGGGTTTAGAGATACATTTGGAAATTTAAAAGGTATACAAATGTTACTTTGATTTTTGCTGTATTTTTGAAGGTTGCTAGGATTACTGTTAGCCTAAAAGTTTGTTGTTGTTTTCTTTTTAAAGAAGCATTGATAGTCAAAAATCTAACCATAATTTGCTATTTCTGAAAAGCTCTTTTCAGGTATAGTACTGATGATGTATTCTCCAATTGTGCTATATCATCCCCTATTTTACAAAAATGTGCACATCCAGGAAGTAGGCAACATGCAGTCTTTGGGTAAAATGGCAGCTCCAGAACACATCCACAAAGGAGAAAGGGTGCAGCTACTTGTACCAAAGGAATTGTCTGCAGTCTGAGATCATCAACATGCACTATCACTCACACTGGGGATGACTGAGTTTCCCTGATGGTTCCCTGATGGCTGCTACCCATTTGGGGTTTGAGGACTCCCTTCCTCTGTGAGCGAGCCCCCCACCTTGAGAGACCAGGCCCAGGAAGCCTTGCTGCACACCCTCCCCCAACCCAGGTTTTAGGTTCCAGAGCTGAATATGGTTGTAACTATGGACAAGGTCACAATGAATGTATCAAGAAGCCATTTAATCCCCAAATCAAGCCAAATGCGTTTTACTGTCTAAATTCTCCCTTTACATATCATCTTTCATTATAGAAAGAATTGTTTTCTCTACCAATTGTTTTAAATAAATAAATATTTGTGAAAAGGAAAGTATGTCCTTCTAATCTATTGCTAAGTACTATTATCATTACTTTTTTCTGGACATAATACAGTATGTATCAGTGTTCAAAAGAGGATTAACAGGCATTACCTAAGTGATCTATTGGATATAAACAGATGAGTCTTTATGTCGACAAAATGTTTCACACAAGTAAAAAAGTTACTTTTCAAGCTGTAATTTATGTATTTATTCAAAATACATATTGAGCACTACTACAGGGTAGAGTCTAATTTTGTCACACTGTTTAAAAAATTGTTTAATCTGTAATGGTGATGACATTCCATTCGACTCGATAATTAAAATTAACAGCTTTGATATTAAAGCATGACTGGCAAGATTATTTAGCTATAGTTGCTCGTGCCAAAACACAGTTATTAATTATTGTTAACTATTAATTATTATTTTTCAAGTTGTTTGTCATCTACAATTAGCTCTCAAATCCTGCCTTGCCATGTCCTCTGTTGATGTTCCTATTGAAACTATTCGATCCTGCTTACACCTTGATCAATACCATAGCCCCAAGCTTTTCTAAAGGAGGAGTTCCTTTATAATACATTTTCCCTGCAGAGAAGATGTTAATGGGTTGTTAAAGAAGCACATTAGAAGAAAAGTAACCAGTTAAATTCCCCTGCCTCTGAAAATATTATTCAACTGTCAGGATAGCAAAAGCCAGTTTGATAACTGACCACATAGGTCTCTGATGTACTGGCACATGATGATTAATTTTACTCTTCAGGTGTCCTAATATATTGAGTTTAATAATATATTTTTGATATATTTATACCCATCTAAAATTATAGCATCACCAACATTATCTTTGGTGGGATGTGTACATATAAACAACACAGCCACTTATCTTCTAAATTTTATCATTTGAAACATGACACATAAAACAAAAGGTGTATTTTTCTTATTTCTAAAGTACATACAATCTATTTCCTGTGGAATAGAAGAGGATGGGAAAGAGGAGAGAATAATTACTCATTTTGCATACACACACAAATACGTATATTATATATATATGTTTTCATCTGTTGCCAAAAGTTTGAAAGTAGGTCAAAATAAACAAGCGAGATTGTCCTTACCTATCTGAGATGCCACATGAGTCTATCTGAAGGTCACTGAAGTTCCCAAGGGACCCCTGCTGAACTGAAATCAGATCTACCACTTTGTTACTGATAGAAATGAGTCTCATACATCCCTGAAATCCACCAAGTGGACTTTTACATTTGGATCCAAAGCTTTTGTCAGGACAACCTGATAAAAACAAAACAAAGTAAAACCAGTATGCATCATAATGAATCAGGATTCAGTATCGTGGAACACTTTATTAAAAAAAATAAAAGAAACAGTCATTTGATTATTTTCTGTATTAAAGGAGAGAAATAAACCAACTGTAGTCATTATTAGTTTGATCCAAATTACAAATTGCAATTCACGCAGAGTGTATTTTCTTCACTTACATAGGATTCACAGGAAGTCACTAGTACTACAATAATCACGTGCAAGGATACTAGCTTGATCCCAATTTTAAAAATATACGTATTAGCTCCAGAATCCTAAACATGCCAGTCAGCAGTATTCAATTATATGTAACATAAACACGGGAAGTTAGTCTTTCAGACTACAAGACTAAGAACAGAAAGGATGAAAATGTTCACCACAGAAAAGATACATCAATAATGGTGAAATGTTTTTATATTTAAAGCTAACTATTTGGAAAAGGAGTTATATGACATGGAATAAAATTAACAACTGTTCATTTAATTAAATATTTTTCTATACACAAAGGAGCAACATACACAAGTATTTTAATAAATTCTAATGGCTTAATGTCAAAAACATTTCACCTTTTGATTTTATTTATGCTTTGCCTCATAAGACAATTTTTTATTTATACTGATTTTTTCTAGCAATTATTTATATTTGTTTAAAATTATTTAAATAATAAAGAAATATAATTTTAATGTTAACCATTATTGTCTGTGGTTTAATGATTTTCTAAATGTTTTTCTATCCAAGTGAAATAAATAATTTTATGGAGTATGAATATATATTAATATTATGTTTCTATTTTTTCATTAATATTTCTTTGCTATTATGGCTGTCAATCACTATTACAATTTCAAAAACCAAGCAATGGGTTAGGAGCCAAGATGGCGGATAGAAGCTGCCAGCACACACTGCTATCTAGGAGAGGATCGAAAGTTGCAAGCAGATGCCCACCTAGGGATGGAACCTTTTGGAGAGAGCACCGTAAATCATCAGAGAAGTGGTGGGAGATACCCAGAATGAAGGACACAGGGACAGAGAGTTTCACTCACCAAGAACGGAAAGTACCTGGGGGAGACCCCTACACATGGGGAAGGAACAAAAGAGAAAGGCCCAGGGCCCCACACACCCGACATGGGCACTGCAACTTGACCTTGGGGAGTCACCACCATGAGCCTCTTTGCTGATTCAGGAACTGCTTGGGGACTGTATAGTGAAGTTGCATTGGAGAGCGGGCTCAGCAGAGACCCTCTGGCCTCTGTTCCCGGGTTGCCACAGCTGATGCCACTCTGAGCTCTCAGGTCTGGAGACCCTGTGGTCTTACACAGGGATCCGCTTTGCTGCAACTGCCCCCACATTGCCCCTTGCTGGCTGGGAAGGGAGCAAGGAGAGCAGATGCTCTGGCTGGCCTATGGCTGGGAGCCAGGAGTGCCTCCCATCAGGGAATTTGGGCAGAGTGGTCACTGACACCACTCAGGAGGTTGCACAGTAGCAGCCCCAGTGGGACCTGTGTGAGGAGAAAGTCCCAGCCAATAAGCAGCCCCATGTGCTGACCGCCAGGCCACAGCCCCAGACTTGCATCCCGACCAGTGGGCCACGCCCCTATGGTTCCATGTACCAACCAGAAGAACAAGCCCCCTGGGCCCTATGCACCATGCAGAATTCTACACCCCTGGGGACTCCCACGCAGTGAGGGAGGCCATGTCTCTTGGTCTTGTGTGCCAGCTAGCAGACCATGCCTCCACAACCTGCACACTGACCAGTGGAACAATCCCCCAGCCCCTGTGCAGTGAAGAGGTCCATGCCCCCCAGCACCAGGCAATACCACACGTATAGTCCAGCTCTCCACCATGGACCCACTAGCCACAGGTTGCTTGGCACCACATACTGCCAGCACATCTAGACCTGGGTGGAGCAAATGCCCACAGCCCTGACACCTGCGGCCATCACTTAGATAGCTTTGTCAAGCAGCCACTGGCACGGTCTTGGGAGACTTGGGCAGAACAATCTTCCACAATGCCTGCCTCTGTGGAGAAGAACTCACTTAGTCCCCCACCCAATGTTCCAACAGCAGCCTGGGGACCAGCTTACCACTCCACAAAAAGATCCCCCAACACTGGACCACGTCCCATGACCTGCCCAGGCACTTGCCAAGGTTCCACGATGCACCCAGGCAAATTGAAACTACAATGAGATACCACCTTACCCGTATCAGAATGGCCATTACTAAAAAGTCAAAAAAACATAAATGCTGGGGTGGATGCAGAGAGAAAGGTACACTTATACCCTGTTGGTGGGACTGCAAATTAGTAAAACCTCTATAAAAACAGTATGGAGATTCCTCAAAGAACTAAAAGTAGCCCTACCATTTGAACTAGCAATCCCACTGCTGGGTATGTATTCTCCCAAAAAAGAAGTCATTTTATAAAAAGAGACACCTATACCCTAATGTTTATCACAGCACCATTCACAGTTGCAAAGATGTGGAATCAGCCTAGGTGTCTATCAATTCATGAGTGGATAAAGAAAACATGATCTATATATAGATAAATATACACGCACATATATATACACACACACATACATTCACACATCATGGAATACTACTCATCCATAAAAAGGAATGAAATAATGTCTTCTGCAGCAACTTGGAATGAACTGGAAGCCATTATCCTAAGTGAAGTATCTCAGGAATCGAAAACCAAACACCCTATGTTCTCACTAGTAAGTGGGAGCTAAGCGATGAGTGCACATGGGTGCAAAGAGATATAAAGGACATGGGAAATCAAGAAGTGGGGAGGCTGAGAGGGGCTGACGGATAAAAACTTACCTATTGAGTACAGTGAACATTATTCTGGTGAGAGACACACCAAAAACCCTGACTTAAGCATTATACAAGGTATCTATATAACAAAAACTTTTGTACCTCTAAATATTTTGAAATTAAAATAAGAAAAAAAAAATAGAAATAAGACTTGCATTTACCTGAACAACAACAACAAAAAGGAAGAAGAAATGACTTCCTAATTCCTGTATAATCTATGCTAGTTTTCTATCTGGGAATTTCCATTATAATTAAATTATCTGACTGAGAATATTTTTCCTTAATGCTTTGTTTTTCCTAACAAAATACATTTACATGGCAAGTGAAGGCCAGCATTCCAATTTAAAACCACTATCAGGCACATTGAAACATTATATTTTAACCTAATGGAGACTTTGAAGTTTTCAATTTAATATTAATAGATCAAAAAAAAAGCGATCAAAGCTTTTTGAGTGTTAATTTATTGGAAATGGTACTACACACATTTCTAGTGCTTAAATTTCTTCTGTAGTATAAGATATAGTTGCCTTAATCACCGTATGTATTCTGGATGACTTATAAACCAATTAAAAATGTTAGGATAAAAACTGAGAGGATAATAGTTCAATAATATTTCGAAGCTACTACAATATGCCAGGAATATAAACAACCTCTGCTAATCTCCCTTTCTCCAGGTGGTGTTTCCTGACACATCTCCAACTATTTCAGAATTGAATAAATTGTGCAATATACCTATAGGGAACGAAACTAAACAAACCCAGAGTCACAAGGAAAGACCATGGAACTTTACAGAAAGCACACCAACATATCACGAGGCACTTCACATTCCCAGCTACAATGTTCAGTTAAAAAAAAGAGATTCTAAGAACAAAGAAGGGTTCAACCCAGGTTAGTCCCCATTAGTCTATGATAAGAGGTAACCACAGTTAATATAATGCAATATCAGAGAGAAGTTTAGCACTGAACCCAATTTAAGAGGAAAGTCCTAAAATAGGAAGCTTTCTGGAGAATACTTAATGCTGAATTAATGGATGGATCCATTACTAGAGGCAGTCAGCATGTTAAACACCTCTGAGGATAACAGATAAATTATCACTGTATGTCACTGTACCAGAAGTGAGATGTCAGGTTAGACTTCACGGCAGTGTAGTCAGTTCATTGGATGGAGAATGTTTGCTTTGCACAAGGGAGGGGGGATGTAAGAATTTTGCTCACGGTTAGTACCCCCAGCTTGTGCTGTGTGGTGTGTTACACACTGCGCAAAGATTCTATAGGGGAATTTACAGACATTAGACACTCAGCCATCCTCATTCTGGAGAACCTAGATTAAAAATTTATAATTTATAAATGATAAAAGCTGAGCACAATGTGCCACAATGCAGTCTGACTTTTTGAAAAGCACTCATGTGAGGGTGGAAAAAAAACTAAAAAATAAAAAGTGATGGATGGGTAGTGGAAATTTGGCGTGGCATATATAGAATGCTGCTAGTTCAGGAGCAGTCCACTTTCCCAATACGACAGCCACTCTCAAGGCTGGCAAAGGGTAGAGCTATAACCCGGACTGTTGGAACAGAGCACTCCTTTGCAGGCAGGTTAGACTGACTGTATTCTGATAAGACAATTGGAAACGTGCAGTTGAATTTAGAAAGAAGAAGAACTGATGGGATGTATCCCAGAACATGGGATAATTTTTCACTTGAAGATAAACTGGCCAAAGAATTAATTACCTAAGAAACGCCTTCCACCTGGCTAAAACAGATCTTAGTGATAGAGGGGGCTCTCATCTGCATAGAACAAAAGGATTTCTATGGTGAACAACTGTCACAGTTTGCCCAGGGACAGGAGTTGTTACCAGGATGCAGGACTTTCAGCTAAAATAGGGAAGAGTTGGTCACACCATTACCAGTACCACCCAGGCAATCAGGGTCCCTGTGCCAGTCCTGCATATTAGGGGACCCTACTTTAGCCCTCCTCCAGCCATGCTTTTGCCTGTAGTCCCAGAAGGCCTCACAGGGGAAGATGATGTGCCTGCTTGGAACCCTCTCCCCTCCAGGCCACTCTCATAATCCAGAATTTCCAGGCCAAAAGCCCTGAGCAGACTTCCATCCAGGAAGATGGACTTCCTAAACCAGGCCCTGGAAGCACAAGGCTGGGCAGAGTAGAGAAGAGCTGAAAAGCAAGTCTCTCAATTTCATTCGAACACTTGCTTTCAGCCCTAGAAATGTTAGGGTGGTCTGCATTTTGCGGGGCATGTATTTAGTGACCAACAGAATCTCCTACAAAGGTCAAGCAGCTTCCGGTATGGAAGAACATCAATTGAGATGATAACTGAATAAACAGAGATACCTAAATAGACTTGAGATTTGTTATTTTTTTAAAAAGGCCTTGAAGTTGGAATTATATTGTGGAGGCTTCCATGGTATATTATTTAGGAATGTATTAATAGATGTAAAATTATAATGAACTTGAAGGGAAGAATAAACCTCAAATTCAGGAGAGTGTTTACCTAGGACATCAAAAGATATGATCCTAAATGGACAAATGTGCTTTGATAATCTTCTTTCTTTAGCAGAGGGATGCATGTGTAGCTATGTTAAAACCGTTAGTAATCTTTAAAATGTATATATGATGTAGGATGTGGACAATAGAGGGAACTGGATATAGAGTATACAGAGGAACTCTCTAAATGTCTTTGCAACTTTTCGGTAAATCCAAAACTATCCAAAAATCTTTTTTAAAAATATAGATACTGTAGACCCTATGTATCCTAATAAAAACAAGCAAAATTACAGAGTACATATGTGATATATTTCACTATAAAATAATATTACAGTATGAATAAAAGCGATCACTAGAGTAAAAATTTACATAAAATAGCTAGGCATTGTTAAACCTGAACATGAAGGACGTAAAATATTTTAAGAATGATGATTCTATTTTCATGATTTACAAACACTTTTATCCAGTCTTTTATTTTGCATCATTTAACAATATGCCTGGATTTTTTTCCTTATCTCTTTTAGTGCTTCTAAATCTTTTCCTTTGAAGCGAAAGCTCTTGGTTAAATTGTTCTATATATCTTACGATTTATTAAAAGAATGTGTTCCTATGGATTGCCATAAAATCAATCATTTATTCCAAAAGGTTTTATAAACAGCCAGGTTCAGAAATAAACAAATCTCAGTAAAGAAAGCAATTATATCTTTTAAGATTGTTGGCCCTAAGCAGCCATTCACAATAATGGATTATGCAGGGTTTCTGTTTGTTTGTTCCTGCGCTTTTAAGATGAACTGATTCATGGGCTGTGTGTTCACTGTCAATTCTTAGAAAAGAAAGTATATTTTACTGGTGAATAATAAAGACTGGTCTCCTTCTATCAACTTCAAAAATGATTTCAGACAGAAGCAGCTATTAAAATGCAACGGAACAACAAAAAAACAATGCTAATACAAGAAACACCTCAAGTCACGATTAGCAGTGAGCCTTACTACTGACAGGTTTACGACTTTGCATTTCTAATGGCAAAGAACATTTTGTTTTAATTTTCCAGTGATAAAGATTCATTTCCATTTCCCAGGTTTTTTTTTTTTTTTTCCAAGCTTTTAGTTCAATCAAACATCCACCAGGCGGGTAAATGCTTCATTAGCTTTTGTTCTCTAAGGGAGATGACCTGGTGTTGAAGGCTGATGCCTGGATTTCATCAAATGTATCAGTGCATTATTGCTTAGCCAAGAGAATAGGTTGCTATGGCTAATTAAGTTAAATTATTTGTCCACTGGCATGGTATTGTCCTTGTATATTAGGCAGTGGGGAAGTAATAGGGATGCTCTGAAGGAGCTAAGAGGCATTATCAGGAAAATACTGCAATTAAATCTGCCCATAAAATCAAAAGAAGACATAGAAGGACCATTTAACACTAGGAAAATATAACAAGGTTTGAAGGTAAGAACTGAAGAGAGTGGCCTACTTAAAATCAATGTAATTATAGAAATTGTAAACATAAGTCAATACACATTGGAAAAATGCATTTTAAGTCATGACCTTTCATCTTGATCCACTCAACATTGTCATGTTCAAAGAAAGTGAGAAATTATTCCTTAGGAGTAACAGGTTAAAATATAATGACTTTCCGAAGACACTGGGGTACTAATGAAAATATGGATCAATTCCCCATATAACCTGACCCCTTTTCTTACCTCCAAAATAATAAGTGCCACTTGAATAAAACTGCTCAGGTCCCAGCGAAGGAGCAGCAGAAGCCACAAGGCCATCCACCGCCACACTCAGGTGATTCCTTTTAGCAGACAAAGAGACGGAATGCCATTGCCCATCATTTAATCCAGCACCTGGGGGAGATGAAACTGGTTAAAGAACTCCCTCTCTACAGTGGACACTATCAGCAGTTGGTTAGAAACTGCAATATCCACACCACTCAATTGGCTACAGTATTTACATCTATTAATTTAAAAAAAAGAAAGAGAGAAAAGGAAGACAGATGGGAAATCAGCATGCTCTATGTGGAAAATGATGCTTTACAAAATTCCCAAACCTGGACAACTTTGAATGATTGAAACCTTTCAATCATTTGGCATAGATTGATTTTCAGCTTCCATTCATGTAATTTACCTGTTGGGGGGAAGAGTTTAGGAAGAGTACAGACGTTTCCTAAAATTCTAGGTTATACCCAATAAAATTCTTTACCTGCAACTTTGCACTTTTTCATAGTCACCTGTTGTGATATTTTGATAGAATATTTAGCAAACCATATCATCAATCATTATGAAAATATTTGAAGAGACTATTAGTAAACAGAGTAAGTTTACAAGTATAATATAAAGGTAAAAAAATAAAGCAGTGTGTAAAACCATACATACACAACTGACCCTCATAATTTGTAGATTTTGTATTTGAGAATTTGACTAATTGCTAAAACTTATGACCCCCAAATCAATACTTGCAGGAGCTTTCTCAGTCACGTGAGGACATGCACAGAGCACCAAGACTTTGAGTTGCCCTGTGCACATGTTTCTCGTTGAGGTCAAACAGGGCAACGCTCTGCCCTATTGTTTTAGCTATGAATGCTAAACAACTTCTTTGAATTTTATAAGTTTGTCAGTGATTTTGCTGTTTAAAGTGGCCCCCAAACATAGTACCGAAGTGTCACCTAGTGTGCCTAAGTTCAAGAAGACTGCGATGTGTCTTTTGGAGAAAGTTCATGTGCTGGATAAGCTTCATCCAGGCACGAGTTACAGCATTGTAAACCACGGGTCCAATGCTAGTGAATCAACAGCATATACTAAATGAGGTGTCTTCAAACAGAAACACACATAAAACAAGATTATCTATTGATTGGCTGAGAAAAATGCTGTCATCAAAGGCTTGCAGGAAGCTAACCAACTCTGTATTTCCCGTAGGAGCAATGGGTTCTGTGTTCCCTAATTTAGTGTGACGAAAGTATTATAAATAATGAGAATCAACTATCTCTTTCTATAAATATT